CATTGACTCCAGTGGAGCTCTGGCCAATTGACACCAGCTGGGATCTGGCCCATTGACTCCAATGGAGCTACGGCTGATTCGCACCAGCTGGGGATCTCTTTTATAAATGTGCAATTGCTCCCCCAGAACAACAGTTTTGTTTTAGGGTGGCGGGTGAAAGTCCTTTCAGCGTCCCAGTGCAGCCAGAGCCTGAATGTGGCCGGGGGTCGGTCAGGGTGGGAAGGTGGCGTCGTTAACTCAGATCTGCTCCGAGGCCCCCCCCACAGGAAATTGCTCACCCTCCCTCCTGTCCGGTGGCCTCCCTCATTCTCTCCAGCACAGCCCCTGACCTTCTTGCTACATTTCAAGGGCTTCCCACGGCCCGCTGAACAGCCAGGCTATTGTCTGTGATGCAGCTGGATGAAAACAATCTCCCCCCGCTTTGATTCAGAGACGTGTGCGTGTGTGAATTGCTGGTCTGCCAAGAGGGTAGTCCCCAGAGCACATCAGCCACCCGCCATGGCTTTTCTGCACAGTCTAGATCATAGACCTCTCGCCTTCAGTGAGGATGGATGGAGTGGGGAGGGCTGGTGAGGAGCTCCCCCCAAAGCCACTTGTGCAGCTGTGAAAGGTGCTCCCTGCTTTGGCTGCTGCCAGCTGGTGTGCGTGTGTACTCTCTCCGTACGCTGTACTAACCCTGCAGAGAGCTGGTTTAGCAGTCCTCGGTAGTACTACCCAGAAAGACCACAGACTCCGTTCGGTGGCGAAGGCACTTGGCCAGGTTTATTGCTGATGAAGCGCGGTATTAGTGCCCGATAGACTCTATGTATATGCCCAGGACAATGGACTCAGCTCAGTCAGCAGCGGGATTGTCTGCTGCCCCCTAAGCCAGACAAAGGTGCCCCTCCTATGATTTCTCTTTTATACATTGAGACAAACAAATTACGTATTACGCTCCTGGCATGTTACCAACCCTACCTAGTGTCTAGTACTTCTTGGGAGTGCCTGTGTTTTAGCAACGCTCACTGTGCCTTTGCCAAGTTCATGTGCCGGACAGCAAACTTGTAAGCAAGCGTCTGCTTGATGACAGGGCCGGACTTTTGCTCCTAGCCTGGCTTTTGCTGACTTTGGTTCAGATCTCAGGTCTTGCACCAGGCCCGGTGCTCCAGGCTCTCTCTCTTCTACAGCTGGAGGGTGTGGGATTTCCTGGGAGGCCCTGGTGTGACCCCCTGATCCCTTGTGGACCAAAGACTCTTGGAACCTGTATTATTGGGGACTATGCCTTTAAGGACTGAGCTTCCCAGACAGAAAACCAAGGAAGCTTTTGTTACACAGCCAGCTGGAACGGGACACAGCAGGAAGCAGAGCTCTGGCAAGCCCCTTAAGCACCAAGGCCCAGATCCTCAAAGGTATTTACGTGCCTAACTCCCATTGACTTCAGCAGGAGTTAGGGGCCTGAATTCCTCTGAGGATCTGCACCTAAGTGTTCACTGAACACCACAGAACTGGCCCCTGAGCCTGGTCTCCCAGCATCCATTGCTCCTGGCCCCACCCTCAGGT